TGATAAATCAGCATGGGCTGAATTGGCAATGGTTGCACAGATGTTCTCAATCTCATAAGTAGCACCACTAACTTTAAATAATGGTACTCGTGTAATAAACTGATGATCTATGAGTACTGTGATTTCAGATGCAGGCAGCACAAGTCTGTGTTGCACGACTTCATATTTCTACACTCCCTGAATTCAGTGTTAACAACCGCTTAGGTGTCACAAGCTACTTGCGGGGGCTTCTTACATTACACAGCAAGGAAATAGGAAAGATTGTTAGAAAAGGAGTCATCTGGGCTGTGAATTTGCATGACCCATCTCATTCGAAAGTGTTTTGGAGGAGGTGAATCTGAATTTCAAGATGAATTAGCCACCCAAAGCTGTGTTTGTTGGTACCAGTTTACAGAACTGTCTGTACTGAGACTCTCACAGTTCATTACCCATGTCAGTGAATGCATATACTTAAAGCGTTCCTCTGCTTGACCATTATCACATGGTTCACTTGGCAGCATTAAAATCCGCTTTTCATCCTGTACCTGCAAATGAAAAACAAAACTTACAAATGTAGCCACTAGGATGGATAAATAGATAGATGAATGGATGGAGATATATATAGTAACATTTCACTGATATGATTGACTGTAGCATTAAAAAAGATATTTAATGGGAAAATGGCAATCTATATATTGTGGTGTCCTATGACCATGTTTTTCTCTCCACAAATATAGCAGCACTAACTATATCCAAGTAGACAGCTAATGGCTAACAGGTCACATTCACACCATTCATTTAAACAGTGCTGTTTTTCTAGAAAAAGAGGTGCCGGAAGTCACCATGACCACCTCCCTCATTCTCTTAAAATGGCAATGGCAGCCACCTGAGAGGAGCCGGAACTCACCTGAGGGGTGTCAGTTCGTGTGAGTTCCTCCTTAAAAAGCCCTGCATTTAAATCACATTTAATACACATTTAAAGCACATGGCTTCCTCCCAAAGTATCCTATAAACTGTAGTTTGCTAAGGGTGCTGGAAATTGTAGCTCTTGGACAGTGTGATTTAGTTGTATTTTAGATGTGCTTTAACTACATAGTGTGGGTGTTAACTAACCTTAAAATGTGGATCAGTACCCCAGGCTCTGTAAGATAAGATTAAAAGTAAAGGTAAAGGACCCCTGACAGTTAAGTCCAGTCACGAACGACTCTGGGGTTGCGGCGCTCATCTCGCTTTACTGGCCGAGGGAGCTGACGTTTGTCTGCAGACAGTTTTTCCGGGTCATGTGGCCAGCATGACTAAGCTGCTTCTGGCAAAACAAGAGCAGCGCATGGAAACGCCGTTTACCTTCCCGCTGGACTGGGAAGGTATCTACTTGCACTTTGACGTGCTTTCAAACTGCTAGATTGGCAGGAGCTAGGACCGAGCAGTGGGACTGAGCAACGGGAGCTCACCCCGTTATGGGGATTTGAACCGCCAACCTTCCGATCGGCAAGCCCTAGGCTCTGAGGTTTAGACCACAGCACCACCCACATCCCTCAATGTAATGTAATGTAATGTAAGATTAGTCACATCAATTAGCACTTAAATGGCCCCTCTTTTGGTTGTCTCCTGTCCTAAAAGGCTCTTATGCTGCCCCAGGATTCTCTTGGAGAAATATGCAAAAAATATATACAAAATGAGAGATTGTTATCTCATTGCACTGTAGCTAAAGGAGCAGCTTTCATGTATGAAACATTATGTAAATTAACCGTAGCAAGTGCTCTAAGTATTAGTGACTGGCTCAATATAAATATTTGTGTTTTGTTAACAATAGAACAGAATAGTTTATCATGTTCTTGCTTGCAGTAGCTTTCTGATGTCATGGAGGATTTCAGATAAACTTGTTATAATTTTGATCCTGTGGTTGTTGTAATAGAAATGTTGTTAAGATTAAAATCTCTGTCAATATGTACTACTGTGAGAGCCACGAGGATCAAAGCTTGATGAAGAATGAATACTTTTTTTTTAGCCAGACAAATGTAAAAACGATATCATTATACTCAGTGCTTTTTTCTGGGGGGATGCAGGGGTATGCATAACCCTAAACATTTTGTAAATCTAAGTTTGGCCTCATTGAGGGGCAGTATTTCAATATGAGTAGAATTTTTTTTTAACAAAAAAAGCACTGAGTATACTAAACAAAGATAATATTTGCTATTAAAAGTTCGCCACATGGGAAAGTACTTGGAAATCATCTAGTTCAGTGTTTCCCAAACTTGGGTCTCTGAAAACAGGGAGACTACAACTCCCATCATCCCTAGGTAGCAGGACCAGTGGACAGGGATGATGGGAGTTGTAGTCCAAAAATAACTGCAGACCTAAGTTTGGGAAACACTGATCTAGACTTGATTTCCTGTGGCTCTCCTGATACTATTTAACTCCAGTTCCCATCAGCTCTAGCCAGCACAGCAAATGGCCAAGGATGTTGGTAGTTGTAGTCCATCAACATCTGGAGGACACCACTTTGGTGACCTCTCTTTTACTACACTGAGGCTTGCCCATATCCATATCTATCTCCACATGTTCCATGGGGCCTCTTTTAAAAGACTCACCCTGTATATTAATGAGCAAAGAAAACTCTAGCGCTAGTATGCCTAGAAACTCTGGGTTGATTCATGTGGGAAAAGGTGGTCCTTAGGTATCAAGAGTCCTGAGGTCAACCCTCAAAGAGCTATCGGGTACAGCAGACAACCTTTCCACTTTCCTAGGCTTATAGGAAAAAACAGCTGAGGATGCCATGGGGTTTTCTGAATGGTATTGGGGGAGAAATCTGATTTCATCATTTAAAGGTGAACTTACTTAGGCACTTTCCAAAATAATATGCAAAGTGAAACAGCCATCCCTTGGAATTTGCATGTTTCCAACTGTTGCAGTAACGTTCTCTAACCAATTAATGTATACAAAACTACATATAATAGGGCAAAGTGTGTGTATAAATGCATGTATTAGCAGAAATAAAATACAGAAATGCATTACATTAGGAAACTTTGCTTTATGGCAGTGTGTTATATTAGGCAAAATTGAATACAAATGTGTATATTAAGATAAAATCTCGTGGAAATGTGGAGAACTGAAGATTAGAAAAATAAGAAATTTGGAGAGATCCAAACTGGCAGATTCGCTCATTTCCAGGTTTCCAAGAAACACAGGCCCACAGGAAGGCTGCAGAGTGCAGACCACAGAGAGATGGTGTGTCAAATGAATGGCGCACCCATTGGCCACCTTGAAAGGGAAGCATAACAAAAAAAGCTGCACCCAACCTATTTCACCAAATTTTTCTTTTCCATTTCACAATTTTTGGATGCTATTTCTTTTCTCATAAATGGATGGAGAACGGCCAAGGAAAGAAATATTCAGCGCAGTTCTACAAAATACAGATTCCTTAAAGGAAAGAAGAAAACACCCAGGTTCATAAACTATTGTGGGGGCATATTTCTATGGAAATCAACACTAAGCAGGGAAGCGAACTAATAAGAACTGAAACAGCTTCTTAAACAGTAGCACAGTTCATGTACTTCTGAATGACGCAAGTCAATTTGCATCTGCTGTTTCTATTTTTCTGGATCCAAGTCACATGTGGCCTTATCCATAAAGATTTATTTACGCGTTACTCTCACGGGAAGAAAAGTCTGCTACACTCCTGGTGCATCTTGGATTCCACAAATGTAATTTCCTTAGAAAAAGGCATATTTCACAGAAAGGAAGCCTTGAGGGGACAAAGAGCTTTATGTTATTACGAAGCCAGAAAAATACAGTAGAAGTATGAGCAAGGTAGTCACCACAACAAAGACAGTCTGTCATGAACTGTTTTTCCAGCTTCGTGAGGAAATGATCTGACTGACATATTAGATCAGGCTCCTTATAACTGAGTGGACTTGTGCTGGCTGTGTGATTTCAGACTCACACATTTTTAGCTTTCAGCAACGAGGCAGTCAAGTGAAGTGTCTTAACCACTTGATTGCAATAACAAGATGGAATCTAGTGGGGTTCATTATGAGTTAACAACTCATGCATCACAAATTAACCCAGAGCATATTTCCCTCTCCCCTTGTTGAACAGCTGATAGTCTGGTGATCAAGTGACAACATTAACATGTTTTAGTGTGTCTTCCACTGACTGGTCATTAATGAGGTAAGAAAGTTAATTGCCATACAGTGAAACTGTCCAGTAGCTGTTAATAATGGGGAAGATATAGTTGTACACACGAGTTTTGAGAACTAGTTTCAGCAGCCTTCCATCTCAGCTGTCACCAGGAGTGCTCTCAGTGGCGGACTTTGGGGTCTTAAATTGCAGTGGCGCCTTGTGCAACATGTTACTGCAACATTTGGCACCCGCCGCCTCTCACCTTCCAGTCTACTTCATAGTTGTGGCACCCCAAGGCTCCAGGGCCAATGCAACTGAACCAGTCGTTCTCCCTAAATCTACCTTTGGTGCTCTGCTAAGCATTGCTCCCACATAAGCCCCACAGGAAGGAATCCGGGAGAAATACTTGCTGCAGGGCATATCTAAGCATCTAGCAAACATAAGGATTGCTTTTCAAATACTTCCTTATCCAGCTTTTCAGATAAGTGGTAAAGGTACAGCTATCTTGCATATTTCAGGCAGCAATCCTAGCCCCACTCACCTGACAATAAGCTCCACTGAATTCAATTCTGAGTAAATATGGTTAGACTTCAGGTAAAAAGGTAAAGGACCCCTGGCAGTTAAGTCCAGTTGCAGACAACTCTGGGGTTACGGCGCTCATCTCGCTTTACAGGCCATTTGTCCACAGACAGTTTTTCCGGGTCATGTGGCCAGCATGACTAAGCTGCTCCTGGCGCAACAGAACACCGAAACCAGAGCAGTACACAGAAACGCCGTTTACCTTCCCGCTGGAGCAGTACCTATTTATCTACTTGCACTTTTGGGGGTGCTTTCAAACTGCTAGGTTGGCAGGAGCTGGGACTGAGCAACAGGAGCTCACCCCGTTGCAGGGATTCGAACTGCCAACCTTCTGATCGGCAAATCCAAGAGGATCAGTGGTTTAGACTACAGCGCCACCCACTTCTCTTTGGTTAGACTTCAGAGGTGAGCCAAAATTAATAAACTGGAATTCATCCCAATCTGATACAGATTTCTTTTCTAATACCTTTAACGGGTTAGATTGACCAAATCTATTTACCAAACATAAAATTCGGAAAGCTTAACTTCAAAACGTTAAATTTGTGTGTATGTGTGTGCATACTGAAAATAAATAGCTCGCCCATATGCTATACAAAGCTAGTTCTTAAATACAATAATTTCAAAACTCAGCATGACAAGGATAGCTACCTGTGGCATCAAAGCAAGAAAACAATGCAAATCTGGCATTCTATCATCCAAGTAGATATTGGGGTGAAAATTACATTATTACGGGGGAATGCAATGCAATGCACACAGTTATAAGAACTCAAAGTCAGCCTGTTTAAAAACCTGTTTAAAAGGTCCTCCTGTATATACAAAGTAGATTCATTAGAACGCAAAGTATGGATTTTGAGCCCACAACCTTGGGGAGAGGAGGCATAAATATAAATTAGCTGTTTACTGCATAGATAATAATCAAAGCTAAATTCCAAACTAATGTTGAGCTAAAGAGGGAGAGGCATACAGAATGTGCCGCCGCCTTCTTTTGGACAAATATTTTGCCCCACTTTGCAAAAGTGTTCAGATGTGTTGGCAAGAGTCGTGAACAGCCCTCCCTTGCCAGGGCAACTAGGTCCACACTCCTGGCCTCAGTTCTGTCATTCTTAGGCCGCAGCCCTATGTACACATACCTGGGAGTAAGTCCCCATGGGGCATACTTCTGAGCAGACATGAGTAGCATTAAATTGTTGGGGCAGAATGGGGACGCTGGTGTGGACGCACACCCAGCTCCTCATCCCAAAGCAGTGCAGATGAACAATGTCCATATCCAGATGTGCCGCTGAATACAGATGACTTCTATCCCCACTTCGGAGGAATGTACCAGAATGCATCATCAGAATGGGTGCTCATCCCCATTCACATTACAGTTGTACCTTGGTTTTAGAACAGCTTAGTTTATGAACAACTTGGATTAAGAACGCTGCAAACCCGGAAGTAGGTGTTTTGGTTTGTGGACTTTGCCTTGGAATAAGAACATGTTTCGCTTCCTGTTGTGTGTGTTCCATTTGTAAATTGAGTCTCCCGCTGCTATGCGAAAGCACACCTGGTTTAAGAACGCTTTGGTTTAAGAATGGACTTTCTGAACTGATTAAGTTTGTAAACCAAGGTACCACTGTATGTCCGAACTAGTCATGCAGACCTATGCACAACTAAGGCTCGATGGGCGCAAAAGGTCGGCGGACAATGAAACTGTTAATTAACTTCTCAGTTAATTATTTCTGGTACTGATACAAGCTCTCTTCCCTGTGGTTTTTAGTGGCTTCCTCCAATAAGAGATCCAGGATATACAAGCTATTACAAGGCGAACATTTTCAATCAGTTCCCCCCACCTGCATTTTTTACAAGACAATATAGAATTGATTGGTGTTTTTCTTTTTTTATTTATGTTGACATAATAACTATTTCCTTCTCATTTCCTGCTGTCTCTTTTTTCCACCAGTCGTGATGGATGCAGTGCGAACAACATTTGCACAGTAGATTGCTAGCACTCAGCTCTCTTCTACAAATATCTCTCCCAACTAGTAACTAGCTGATGATTGCAGGGGAAGGAAGTGTACCAGAACAATGAACACCAGGTTTGGAAATAAGAATTTGGCTGTTATAACAAAAATAGTCATTGTGAGTGTTAATCACCAAAATTGAATTTTACTGTGTACTGAACTGTTCACCAGTTTGACACCTTGAAATTGAACTAATCAATTTTTCGTGCAGGAACACCAGCTTCGAAATTGCAACCCTTAATATTCCCGGAATGGAAAGGAAAAAACACAAACCTCAGATTTTAAGACTGGATTATATTATGTTTGATAGAGTTAGCATGGCTGTTCTACTGATGAATTTCTCCTCGACTTTCACACTGCATTAGAAGATGATGCACACTTGATTTCTACAGTGCCAGTGCAAAATGCGGGTGGTTTTTTTTGTGTGTGGTCACAGTAGCTTAAAAAGTCTGTTAGGAGAAACATTATTTCCCTATCTAATCAGTATTTTAAAAATAATATCATAAGTGGCCAATCTTCCTTTGTTAGGGAGATTCCTTGTTTATTGCCTAGGATGGGTGGTAAATAGTTTCTTCAACAGGAACTAGTGGCTGGGACATACAAAGAAATCTCTCTTGAATTTCTGGAATGGAAAAGCTGTAAGAATTGGGGTGGTGGGGGAGTGACACATCTCACCTGTAAGGGAAGTGACTTGTGTATGTGGGAAGAAACAAGTGTTGAGGCAGATTTTCGAACAGAGAGAGAGAGGGAGGGAGGGAGAGAGGGAGGGAAATGATGACAAGCAAGCTAGAGATTACAGGGAATGCATTAATGCGTTTCACATCTCTGCTTTTAAAAAAATAAACAAATTGCAAGAGCAGGGCCATCCCACATAAGGAAGGTAATTAATCTTCCCCGATTGCGACAACAAATCACGCTGGTGCTGCTATTTGATATTGCACTGCCAGTTGATACTTCCCCTGAGGTAATTAGTGTCTGGGGCAGAAGGAGTGTTCGGCTTTTTCATCAGGCATGCGCTGAGGAGGGAAGGTTAAACCGCCTCTCGTGGTGTGGTCCCATTACTGATCACCCACCTCTCCATCTCTATGCAGGCACCTTTACCCCAGGTTTGATCTGTAGCATCTTCAGTTAACACGGCTGAAGCAGAAGGGGATAGAAAAGATTCATCTGCTTGAGACTCCTTGAGAGCTGTTGCCAGCCAGAGTAGGCAATACTGGCTTCATACATACCACACATTTAAAGCACATCTCCACCCCCATCGTTCAGCCCGGACACTGAGATCCAGCGCCGAGGGCCTTCTGGCAGTTCCCTCATTGCGATAAGTGAGGTTACAGGGAACCAGACAGAGGGCCTTCTCGGTAGTGGCACCCACCCTGTGGAATGCCCTCCCATCAGATGTGAAGGAAATAAGCAGCTATCCTATCTTTAAAAGACATCTGAAGGCAGCCCTGTTCAGGGAGGTTTTTAATATTTAATGCTGTACTGTTTTTAACACTTGATTGGGAGCCGCCCAGAGTGGCTGGGGAAACTCAGCCAGATGGGTGGGGTATAAATAATAAATTATTATTATTATTATCTCTCTTGCCCTCCACCAAGAACCCTTGGAATTCTAGTTTGTTAAGGATCTGGGAATTGCAGCCTCTGTGAGGCATAAATTCTTTTTTTCAAGGGAGGGGTGTGTGATTTAAATGCATGGTGTGTACGCAGCCAAGGTTTAAGATTCTTTGCTTTCCTACGATGTAGATATACTGCCTGGTAGAAGCATCTGCTGCTTGCTTCCCTTTATGTTCTCCTTGTATACTTGCAAAATAAAGCAAACATTACAAAAATGCCCAAAGTCCCCACAGCACTTTCTCTTCCAAAGGAACCACCCAGGCAGTGTTTCTTATCACTCAGGGAAACAGGGAGCTCACAACAATATAAAACCTTACTTATCCATTATTAAACATTATTTTAGATAAATCATTGTCAACTTGAGCTAGTGATCTCTTCCAGATGCGAACGCTCCAGTGCATATCAATAGATGAAGCTACTCTGCGGAAAGGTTTTGCCAAAGAGCTTCTCTCTCCATGGTGGAGACTGTAGCAATCTGCATGAACTCTGTGTGTATCTGAAGTGAATAATGTGTATTATTTAACTATATTCAGGTGACTTTTCAGGTACTGTGCTGAGCAGCCTTATCCTAAATATTTATGCTGATACCTATCTGCTCTGATAGATTTGTTGCTAATCACCAATATATTTCCAAAACATTTGTTACCGTAATTGGTTTGTGCAGGCAATCTTAGGATGAGGCCCTTTTTTTGTTTGTTTTGAATCAGGATAATATGGAAGTGTCAACACATCTCCCAGACTCTTATATACATATATAAACTGGGCTCTGTCTGAAAAATCATGCCTGGAAACCTAGGTTGTATGAGTGAAGCCCAGAAAAATCTGGTGGAAATTGCTGATCAGCTTTTGATGGAGATTCTGAAGCAATGGGACTGAATCTAGTCTTCTGCTCTTTCTCCCAGAAAACTCATCATGAGTTTATAGCACTAGGCTGTACATGCACAACTTAGTTGTTGAATTAGGTTGGACAATTGTGGATACACAACATCTTTTTCCAAACATAACTCCGTTCAGCTAGGGAAAAATATCCACAACCAGCAAAACATGCTTCCATCAACATGATTGGTGATATTGTACATATATATATCTGGGAGAGAAAGAGAATAACGGCAAATATATTGAATAACAAAATGGAATTCAATTTTTATTTTCCAGACCACTCATAACATTTGACAGAGACTATGCAGGGTATTTGACTTGATTTTATAAAGCCCCCTCTGCATTATGAAACTGTCACAAAAATCCATTTAAGTCTCAGGTTTTAATATAGATTGGCTATATTTTCAGATAGCATTTGATATGGAATATTAGAAAGCAATGGAAACTGTCAAGAGAGTATTCTGATGGTCATAAATATATGATGACATACTGCTGAATAGTTTTAATTGTTTTTATGAACACATTTTCAAAGCCCTAGCAAGCAAGTAACTACTCTATTTGCACTTATAAAAATAATTCTCATTATTCACTCCTTGTATCTTTAAAACTGAGTTTTAGTGGTCCTCACTTTCAGACAATTGAAACTGGTCTGATTAACTCCAGATTTTATAACTATTTCGAGTTCCAGTTTTTAAAAAAGTTGTTATTTTTCTAGCTAATCAATATTTTAAAATATCAATAGAGGCCATGGAAGAATATCTGCATATATGAATTGCCACGTTAAGAACTGTTGGCAAAATGTCAACATTCCTCTGGTTTTGGACAAATTATTGGTCATGTCTAATGTCTAAGCCTCATTTTAATGGGATATTCAAACACATGCTTAACATTTACTGAAATCAGCCTAAAATTGTATGCAAATCCACTTGTATGAGACTTTTTTAAAAACACCACAATGTAGCATCTTGCCCCACGTCCCATTACCACTGGGGAGTGTGCTGTTGTGCTCAGGTCCTGCTTTTGGCTTTCACATACATCTGGTTGACTACTATGATAAGGTAAAGGTAAAAGGGACCCGGGTGGCGCTGTGGGTAAAAGCCTCAGCGCCTAGGGCTTGCCGATCGAAAGGTCGGCGGTTCGAATCCCCGCGGCGGGGTGTGCTCCCGCTGCTCGGTCCCAGCGTCTGCCAACCTAGCAGTTCGAAAGCACCCCCGGGTGCAAGTAGATAAATAGGGACCGCTTACTAGCGGGAAGGTAAACGGCGTTCCGTGTGCTGCGCTGGCTCGCCAGATGCAGCTTTGTCACGCTGGCCACATGACCCGGAAGTGTCTCCGGACAGCGCTGGCCCCCGGCCTCTTAAGTGAGATGGGCGCACAACCCCAGAGTCTGTCAAGACTGGCCCGTACGGGCAGGGGTACCTTTACCTTTACCTTTTTAAAGGTAAATGACCCCTGGACAGTTAAGTCCAGTCAAAGGCTTTTTATGCTAGTGCTGGACAGTTAAGTCCAGCAGGCTTTTTTTATGCTAGTGTACTATTCGTGTAATTCATGTATGCCTGTGCGATCTTTGGTATTGACATTAACTAGTTGCAACAAACCATACTTCGTATCATGAGCATAAATAGTGATGCAGGAAACACAGAAAAGTCTTTCTTTTCTTAAACTAGCCAATGGTATGGCTCTGTTACTGTCATTCCAGGGTAACCGCAAGCTGTAATTTTAGTACAATATTCATGAGAAGCCTGTTTTTTGATTGCTCATCTTTCCCACAGTAATGCCCATTTTTTCAGCTTCTTCATATACATTCTGGCATTTCACATTTTGTGGACCATTTATCAGTTCTGCTGTGAGCGAGCCAGAAAAAAAGGGGGAAATTCGATGAGAACTTCCCTAAGATAACTTCATTCATTTGCAAAATGGAGAAAAGAAGCAAGCGTAATAAAAAAACTTGGTCAGCCATTGTCTCCAAAATAAACACACAGAAGTGTTGCAAACCAGCTTTCATATTGCTGCATGAATTCTAGCCAGCTCATATGCAGCCATCTAATGCAGATTATTCCTGCCAGGAGCATAAATAATCTTAGCATGGTGTGTGTCTTGTAAGGGTCATTGCTGGGTTAGGGGGAGAACACACAAAAACATACCAAGTATGGTGGCAGATTTATAGAACCTCCTCTGGAACATCTCTTCACGATATGCACTTTGTCCCCGCTACAGGTTTTGGAAGCATCCAGGGGGTAAAGGCCTCAATTAAGATAGTCACAGCCTGCTGCATTTTTAACTTCTAACAATGCTCGGGAAAACCATCTGGAAATAGTCTGGATATATATAAAGAAACATTTGAAAACTGCAGGATATGTGGGAACCCGGCATCGCTGTAATTATATGGATGAAGAGGTGAACTAATCATCACCAAATTTTAAAGGAAAGGTGAGTATATTAATGGCTTTCTCTTCTCATATTTTAATGACCATAAAATACACTTAAACTGGTTCAGTGATGTGAATCCCGAGTTTAAATAAAGGAATTCAGATGTACATGATCCCCATAACAACTGAATCATCCACTAGTTTAAGTGCATTTAAACAAACAACTGTTTACTGAACACCACAGTTTGATAGGTTTACATTTAATTTCTTCACACATACTATGATGCAAAACTTCATGCATTTCCACCAAATTCCTCTTCCCCTTCCATCCTTCTGTTCTGGAATGTTGCGGAACCTTCTAGAATAGTATGGAAAAGTGTCTGTTTTGCATACAGAAGCTCCTTGGTTCAATACCTGGATAGATGCCTTCTGAAAACCTGGAGAACTGCTGCCAGTCTGTGTAGACAGTAATGAGTTAGATGGCCCAATGGACTGACTCAGTAAGAGAGAAAGAAAGGTAACAGATTGGTAGAGAGCGAGAGAGAGCAAGAGAGAGCAAGGGAGCCATTGGAGACTAAAGGAAATGAAGGCTGCTTGCAAATGGGGTGACAACCATGATTAGTCCAACATCTTAAAAGATAAGCTATACTTTGATGATGAAACCCCTAGCTCAATTAGTTTCTAAAGAGATGAACAGCATAATTAAACTCTGAAATCAAACAAGAAAGATGAACTAATTTTATATGGAGATTTGGTACAGTACTGAAAAACAGTGAACTGGAAATGTTACTGGAAATGTTGCATCATGTAGAACGTCCTGCTGTGAATTTTATCAGTTGTCTTTATCGCATCTGTAATCTTGCGATTGAATATTAAGTGGGTACTTCACGAAATGTTCAGCAACCTTTGTTTAGAAAATGCAGTGCAGCGACTTTAGCTCTCGTGAATTGAAAACGTATTCCTTTGCCACTCTGTCATCATCTCTGTCATTGTCTGCTGAAGAGCTTTTCACCGTGTAGTTATTTATGCCAGTTTCTCTGATGTATAATATCCCAGTAAGTTGTTGCATTTCAGAATCTTATTAGGCCTTCACTTGCGGGCGTTTTCTTTAAAAACCATAAACTTCAAAGAGAGGAGCTGAAATGCAACAGAAACAGTAATTTTGCTCTTATAACCAATATATCTCTGATTGCAGATCACAGTACACATCTGGCGCCTGTCATTTCCATAACAATGCAACCATTTGCAAGATATTTGATAGGGGTCAAGAAAGCATGTTGGTGCTAGCCACAGATAGCAAATTAAAATGGGCTATTTGTAACGCCCTGAGACCTCTGGGTATAGGGTGGTATATAAATTCAGTGAATAATAATAGTAGTAGTAGTAGTAGTAATAATAATAATAATAATAATAATAATAATAATAATATGCTGTGTTGGTTACTATATAAGAGAATTATTTGCATTGGAATGCAGGACAAATACATATGCAGTGCTTCTGCAAAGCAGGTGTTACTAACCTGCTTCTGCAAAAAGCCCGCATTCATTTTGGAACTGGGGTGCATTGCGTTGGAGGTGGGGACAAATGGTTCACATACAGTACATCATACTAGGGCAATGGTACTTTCCAAGTTGCAATAAGGTAGGGTTGCCATACGTCTGGAATTTCCCAGATATATCCGGAATACTGTAGTTGGAAGCAGTGTCCGGGTGGAAATTGCCCAAAAAACTTTGCCCCCCAAAAGCTCAGCAACTCTCTACCAACCCTATAATCAGGTAGATCACAAGTGGCAACTTAGATCAAGCCCTTGATGAGAACCAGCGAAGGCTTGAAATGAAGTTTTGCTAGTGCCTTCCAGTTTTAGCCAAATGATATATTAAACCAATTTGAGGTCACACATCTCAACAAAAAGAATGAAACATGACTTATCCATAGGTGGAAGAAGGCATATAAAAGAATGGCATCCACTATTCCCCAGGCATATCTATTGCCTTCCCTAATTTGTACAGTCATGTTTAACACTTCAGTAGACCCAGCTCATTGAAGCAAATCTATATGCAGGCACACTGTTTTAATCTTAGATTTAAAATAATCCTAATTAATTTCTTACCTCTCCGCCTCCAACATATCCACCTCTTGCCTCTTTAAAAATTAAGGTAAATATCACAATTAAAAAAAGAATAATTGCATTGAAACCAGAACAAAGACGGTAGGATATATTTTGAGTCACAAGCGAAAGCTAATAGATAGCTAGAATTTCCATCTTTTTACCATAATCCCTATAGATTGAATGTGATTCATCTTATTTTAAAGTCATGCAGTGCAATCCTGTACATATCTACACAGAAGTAAGCCCCATTGAAGCTGCAAACTTAAACACACTATTGTAAACCATAGCGTTTGCTTCTGAGTAAACATCCATAGGATCGCACTGCATACATTCATAGACTGATGGACAGCTATTGTTGATAACATAGATGATCAGAAACACATTGCCCTCCTATTGTTGGTCAATAACTGTCAACAACAGCTGTTCATCAGTACAGGAATGAAGACACTAAAGCAAAATCCACTTTTTAAAAGTAAGGAAGATATAGAACTATTTCCTATATACTTCTCTAAAGCAAGGGTATTCCTGTATTCTGAAAGCAAGCAGACTATTGATTTATGTCCTGCTGTATCAAGGTCTCTTAAAGCACTCGCAATAGCAGCAGAATATATAAATGGGCCCGCAAAAGAGGCCAAGGAACTACATACCTAGATTCTTGATCTCAACAAAAACTCATAATTATCAGACAAATGGTTCTTCTGAATACTATCTTAGGGAGTCAATCCCCATTTATCTAGCAACAGGATTAGTTCAAAATGCTGTAATCCGTTGCCCCAGAGTCAGTGGTGGTAACATTGATCTACTCTTCTTTTAAAAAGAAAGCATGTTAACTAAGCAATCCTATGGAGGTCAGGGTGGGAGGGGAGTCTGTGGTGGAGGAACTGCTACTTCCTGAGTCCTGCCAGGTTTCTCCCCCCACCCACCCCATACAAGCTTTATGTTCCCTCCCATCAGTTTCATTGAGAGGGAAAAAACTGCGCTCCAGAGTTTCTATAGTTCGTCTGCTTTGTTGGGGCCAATGATGAGGGAACCAGAGGGCTTTAGATCTAGAGCCTTTCCAATGTGATCTTTTTCCACCCATAAAACCCATGAGAGTACCAAGGTCAAAGGATTGGCAGTGGTCCCCTTAGGACAGCTTCAAGAAGAATGTGAATTGAGCTATGAAAGCACATTGGCTAAACTCTGGTCTTCCAGTTCAGGTATAAAATGGAGAATGAAGTTCTAGTTTGGGTGAAGGTGTAGTGAGTTATACAGTTACAAAATCATTAGAAGATTATTAAATGTTGACATAAGAGATCACAGAACTGGCTCTGTTTTGTAGAGTAATAAAGGGGTATCTAGAGGGTTTATATATGTTCTGTATACTGTATATAGTTAAAGTGTTACATTCCCCAAGCATCAAACATGGTATCTGTCACAGAATTTGGCATGCTGAAATCTTTAGCTTTCAGGGGGGGGAATCAAGTTTCTAATCTTTAGGGTTGTAATGGGGACCCGCAACCTCGCATGGGTAATGTATTGCAGGTTCAGACACCAATCTTGAACTGGAAAGAACTTCTACAGGCTTGTGGGTGGAGTTTACATTTAATAACTCCTCCCACAATCATTTTCAGCCTACATGACTCATTTGGCCATCTTCCATACTCTTCTTTAATCCCTATTTGCCATATAACAATCAAAACTGAGCTAGCAGAGCTGAATTTTGAATGGTTTGAATATCTAAATTCTGAACCTTAATTTTGGAAGCAGAGCAAATCATGCAAAATAAGCAGATATATGTACATTAAATTAAATTGCATGCTTTTAATTCCAGGCAAAGCCCAGAATGCTAACAAACAGGGAAAAATAAGACAATGCATCTTTAATACACATTAAAATACTGAAAGTCTAGTCTTATTTTTGCTAGTAATTGTGCTAGGTTACAACTTAGGATGTAGTCCCATGTTGCTACTCAGCTGCAGAAAAACAATGTGCCCAGATACAACCTCAGAAGCAGTTTATTTGAAAATTGTAGGGCATGCTGGGATACTTATTTCCTTAGGAATGGAGAACTAGCAAAGCAATCTCAATGGAACATGCATCTCCGTGACCAAATCCCTTAATTACATCCAGTGAAATAGCACCTGTGGCAATTAACTTGTGTAACTCCAGCATAGTAATTTTAATTGGCGGAGGAGGAAATTAACTACACTGAATGTGTTGTTTTACATGGTCATCCAGAAGTGAAAAAATCCAGCAGCACTGTTAATTATATGGACAGAGCAGTGCAAATGTGCTACCTTAGGCTTAGACAGAAGTATCTATTGTCTCCCATGGACAAGTTATCATAAGAAAAATTGAGTTGGACTCATAATTTACATCCTGCTTAAATGAATTTATCTGTCTTTCTGCTCTAGGTAAAGTTTATCTAATTCCATTTTGCCTTGGTGTATATTCATGAATTTCAAATACCTTTTACCTTATTCAGAAGAACCCTTTGCATATGCTTAAGGTGTGAATCACTTAACCTGACTGTACAAACATGGCACACACAAAGAGCAGCATAACACTTTACAAATGTTAAATGTAACTAATACCTTGGTGGCTTTCAAAGGGTCTCCACACTTCTCTGTGTAACAAACTGCACTTCTGGGGCTAGTTTGCTTTACCACACTAATGAATGCTTAATCCCTTGAGTTCTCTCTTTGGGTTTGAAAATCAACATTAACTATTATCCTGTGTAATCGTGAACACAGGTGTCTGAGTGCCCATCTGTATGGAAGCAAAATGGGGCCACCCAAAAATGTGCAGTGCTTTTTCCATACTGTAAATTAAAATAAAATGAATTTTTTAAAATATATATATAGACCTGAAAAGAGCCTCTGAACTTCCAAGTGGTACATAAAGCTAGTTGTTGTTGAGCCTAGAGATTGAGAGTGAGAGAAAGGAGTGCTTCTAAACAGGGGGGCTAT